CCTGCATTTCGTGTCAGAGCGAGTGAGCGTGCATAGCACCTTGAATCTTCTGTGGAGTGCAAGCTCAGGCTGAGGACTGCCTGTGAGCCGCGTGGAAGTCAGTTTGCTTCCGACGATCGATATCGGTTCCGAGATTGCTGCGCTAATGGCAGCACGTTAGACACCGAGGCGGGCGTACTGTCACGTCGTTTCTTGGCGTCCTCCTCATCACTCCCAACCCATCCCTTCCTCTACAATGTGGCCGCTGACACCATGGCGGCCACTGGAGCCGCCGACGCCAGTGTTCAGGCTGATGCAGCTCGTTGCTGTTCCTCCCATCCTGTGCGTCGGCCTGCCGACGATGCTCACATTCAACTCACTCTCGTACCTCTACTACCGCCCGAAGCACGGCTTCCTCCGACATCTCGCCACCAACACACTCCGCATGCTTCAGTCACTCCTCACGCTTGGATGCGTGACCCGCCGCGACCCCGAGGAGTGGAAGATCCCCAAGCTCGCCAAGCACCACCGGCACCTCGCTGAGATCGGCGAGGTCAGGACGATCCCTCCTACCAGCGCAGACATTCCTCTTCTGCCCAATGTCCAGGTCGTCGTAGACCGCGGAGTTGTGAAGCCGGAACCGCGACCGGGCTTCATGATTGCGCCGAAGTCCACGCCGAAGGAGAAGATCTGGTCCAGGGCCAAGCCGGGCGAGAAAGCCATCTTCTACATCATAGGAGGAGGTTATCAAATGGGCCAGCCCGTGCAGTGGTTTGTCACCTGGGAGCTCGCCACCAGACTCGGCCTCCGCATTTTCCGTGAGCTAGGAGACTGCTGACAGAGCTGATCGCAGACACCAACTACCGGAAGTGCCTCAGCGATGATTCGGCGTGGCCAGGTCCGATGCTCGACTACCTCGCCGCGTGGGATTACATGGTGACGGAACTTGGCTTCGAGCCTCAGGTGAGTTTCCACTCAGAGACTCTTAACTCATACGCAGAACATCATGCTCTGGGGTGCCTCGGCTGGTGGCCACGGCTGCCTCTCCCTGACGCGATACCTGGAGCAGCTGGACGAGCAGGGGTTCAAGCGTCTTGGCCTCCCCGGCGCAGTCTTCGCGAGCGCGCCGTGGTGCGATGTCACCGGCTCCTTCCCCAGTATCTCCCGCAATGCGCACAAAGTGAGTTGCCGGCCGCATCTGGGCTGACTCTCAGGATTGGCTCGGGACTACCACTCTCGTGATCCAGCCGTCCTTCTCTCGTCACTACTCCTACCCGGCACAGCGCGATCCGCTTATGTCGCCCGCTTTTGCGCTGAAGAGCGACAGGCACTTCGCCCGCTTGTCCGAAAAGGGCGTCAAGATGCACGTCGACTATGGCGAGGACGAGAAGCTGCATGATGAGGTCGAGGCTACAGTCGGAATCATGCGCAATCAGGGGCTCGAAGTCGATGCGCTCGAGGTAAGCTCTGCAAATTTCCTCGATCTGACGGTCAGATTCCCGGCGGCACGCATTGCGAGTACGTCTTTGCACGCACGCCGATCAAGTTCTGGCCTGGTATTGGGTTTTCCTGGCCCATCGTTGCGGAGGCGACGGAGAGGCTTGTTCGGGAGACCTGGCCGAAGCACGTCATTCCTGGCGAGGGGGTGATCAGGGCTCTTCAGGAGGAGAAAGATATCAAGGAAGGCAAGGTGAAGAAGTAACAGTTGTATCGACATTCATGAAACAGTACTGGCTTGTGAGGCTACTGACACGCGTTCTGATACACTACATCTTGAGCTCATTCTCAGCCCGCTGCGCCTCCCCAACTACGTCCTTGAACTTCATGCCTGGCTGGAAGACGCGGAGGACTTCGTCGCAGATGGCAGGGCGCAGACCATGAGCGAACCAAAGACACTCAAACTCATCATCCAGGTCGATCCTGTGCCCGCAATTGCCGCTCTTCTCTTCATACTCGTGCGCATAGTCCTGCACTGTGCCTTTCTGGACCAAGCGAGCGAAAATCTGTTCGGCACGCATACGATCGACGATCCTCTGGCGGTTCTCCTGCTCGCCCTCCTTCTCCTCAGGTCCCATCGTGCTCGCGCGGCGTGGGGCGCGCAGGGGCAGTTCGCTCCCAAACACCTGCAACAGGTGCGCACGGAGTTGGGCATACGTGTGCGCGCCGTGCATGCCCGACGCGCGGTGGTGGAGGTGCTCGGCGAACCAAAGCCGGGCGCGGCCGCGCAGGTGTTGCGCCAGATAGGCGATCTTGGCGGCTGAGAGACGGGGCTCGTCGGCTGGTAGGGGGAGGAGGGGCCAGGTGGCGTCTAGGATCGCGAGGAACTGCTCGACTGGGTAGCTGGCGTCCCCGGAGAAGAGCTCTGCTGGAGGGAGCGAGAGGGGAGAGGGAAGCGTGAGCGACTGTGAGTGCGGCATTGTCCGTTCTTGTTGAGTGGTGAGTGATGATCAGGGAAGTCGAGATGAGAAGGATGGTGGGAAGACGCGGAGGGGGGGGGTTGAGTTGAGAGGCGTCGTCTGACGGGAATGATGCGCACACCAGGGGCAGTGAATGATGACGATGGTGCGTGAGGGCGCAAGAGAATGGATCTTGTGACTTCGCCATTGTCGTGGGGGAGATAATGGTTTCATGTGGCGAAACAGGCAGGCGTTTGGAGTGGTCGTAGGAGCTGTCATTGCCATCCACGGCGGCAACGATTGCACCGGGGCAGGTCATAAGAAGACGCTACTAGCCTCATCCTCTCTTTCAAGTACCGCCGTCACTCATGAGCAGCAACAGCGATAACTCTCCGCTTGACGTACACCCGCCGATGGCAGGTGACGCCCCGCCTGCCCCTGACTCAGCCATGGAGTCGAGCATCGAGGCTGACTCAAGCTCCCCCATCGAGGCCGACTCAAGCTCCCCGTCCACCATCACCTCAGCGACTGCGCATGTCGTCTCTGCGCCCAGGACGGCTGCGCCTGTCTTGTCTGGTCCTGCCGCGACAGTATCGACGGTGACTGCACCCACCTCAACCGGCTCCGCCGTCTCCATTGCCGTCAGAACTGGCCCTGCTTCGTCTGCCCTTACCGTCTCAGCTGAAGCACCTTTGGACCCCGGCAACGTCTTCGGTGTCCCTCTCGGACTAGTCCAAGATCTGACGGGGGTCTTAGCCGCCCTCCCCCTTCTGCCGGCCGAGGTCGGGGCGGCCGCGCCTCCCCACCACCCCGCGACCGGGGGATCAAGCAGCGCGCCGAGTACCATTACGACCGCCACTGGCTCACGCGAGAGAGGCCGCCGTCCCATCAGCGATGAGCTCTTCAGGCCACCTCACGAGTCAGAGGATCGGGCTCGCATTGGTGAGGATGACCCGCTTACGGCTTTCGAGGAGGCTGCGGAGGAACTGGCTGCGGACATCGATGCTCTTCTCGCTACACTGTCCAATGCCCGTGCTGCTCGGGCACCTCGGGTCTCCGACTCAACCTCTGATACCACTTGGACTGCTCCTGCCTACACGCGTGGAGCTGCACCTGCCCGCCGGCCTGTCGCAGCTCCTGTGCCTGGTCCCCTTCAGCCAGCTGGCTCTCCGACTAGCCCTCCTGCTCGCCCTCCTGCTCGTCCTGCGAGTGGCTTTTTCGGCGGTGCCCCAGCCCGCGCTGCGCGAGCTCGCGCTACTGCGGGTTCTCCTTCGCCTCCGAAGACGCCTCTCGAGGGCGTCCCCTTCTTCGACGGGCTCGTAGACGTAGAGGCCTGGATCACGACGTACCAAGATGCGAATCGCGCCAAACCGAACAATTTCAAGCTGGAGCAGTTTCTGTCCGGCCGCGCTTTGCTGTGGTTCAAGCGCATAGCACCTGTCAAGGGCCATCTCACTGCGCGCTCCGTCATCACTCTCCGGGAGCACTTCGGATCCCAGCCCATCCTGGACCAGGAGCTGACAGAGGCGGAGCGCCAGTACAACAAGTCTAAGCAGGAGGGGAGCGTGTTCAGTTACGCCATGACCTTCCGCGATGTGGCCAAGGAGTATGGCCAGAATGTCGAGGCAGATGCCACGAGGCAGTGGTTCTACTATGGGCTGAGGGAAGAAGTCAGGAAGGCGGTGCGCGTACGCGATGTCCACACTTCGGGCTTTGAGGGTCTCGTCACTGAGGCTGTCCGCGTTGAGATGATCCAGTCCCCGCGGGGCGAGAGAACGGGGGTGTACGCGAGTGTCTGCGAGCTTGAGGAGCAGACGCGCAGCTTGCAGGAGAAGCTCGCGAGGATCAGGATCCAGGGGTGGATCTAAGGAGTTAGAGTAGTAATCGAAGATTCGTAGAATGCGCATGAAAGTGTGTACGGAAAGTGATCGCGCTTGAACTCAGATTGCAAGGACGCATGAGCTTTGACACCCCTCTCGATTACAGATTATCAATGACTTCTGCGCACATACTACGACTGTGCACGGTCGGGAACTCTCGACTAGCAATGAGCTTGACGTAGTTGTGACAATTCTCAATGCTATAGACAAAGACGCGACTGGGTACGTAACCCCCATCAATTTGCACAATGACAAAGACAAACAACGTGGGTCCAGAGCCAGCGTATTGGGCTTTTGGAGACGGACTTCCAGAACACCAAGGCCGCTCCAGTGCTCGCCCAGGTGAGCGCCAACGCGTATGGGGAAACCCTGTTCAGAAGAAAGAAGTTTGTGCGTTTCTCGGAGCACACGCACCTGAGCGACATTGCTCTCGGCGATCAAGAGAGCGAGCCTTCTGGCCACAAGCCCGCCCATGGCCTTGCGAGCGGCCTTCGTCCGTAGCACGAAGTCCAACCATACGTAAGGTAACCAGTCAGAAAAGCAGTCTCGCAGTGCAAATCGACTTCTCCATTAGCTGACAAGATCCGGTCGGAGACAGCACTAAACCGGAAGGCTAGTGTACGACCCTATGCTGCGGGCTTCCAGACACACTCGCGCAAGCCCTGCCAGTGAACAAGGTGGGGCGTGTCATGGGCCATTGTCAGCTCTGTTCATCACCGATCATAAACAATCCTGAGCCTTATTATCTGCCGCACAGATACCCCCAACGTGTGTGTTGATGGGTGATGGTGCACACTGGTGTTAGTCAGAGTAGTATTGCAATCGCTCGTCGAGCAAGATATAACAGCCCCATCATCTATGCGTCGCAGCCAACGCACCCCACCTTTCCACCATGGCCAACAGCGTTAGTTCACGGACCGGTTCCAGCTTCCCAGCCGGTGTCCAAGTCTTCACGGGCATGGACGTTGGCTACACAGTTCTTGAGTTCCTGTCGTCGGTCCACGCAAACGTGCGTGCGCTACCTGGACCGCCACATGCGCATCACATCTCCAACCATCTTCGTGGGAGAGCTCTACTGTGGTTCTCAGCCAAGCACTCCGAGGACAGCTACGACGGCCTGCAGTCTGCGCTTCTGCAGTCGTTCTCAGTCGACTGGAGTGGGGAGGTAAGCTCGGAGCGGCAGTTTCGACTTCTGCAGCAAGGTTTCGGCACCGTGGATCAGTATGCGGCAGAGTTCGAGCACCTCGCCGGCTCCTGCTCCGAGAACGTGAACGCCGAATATAACTTACGGTGGTTCGCGTGGGGCCTCCGCCACGAGGTGAGGGAGCTTGTGTTCACCGAGCCGTACGCCTTCTGCTCTTTCAACCGCCTCGTCGCCGTCGCGGAGGATGCGGCGGTTTACCTCCACCTCGAGTCGCGGGCCCGCCCGCGAGTTCGTGAGGGCACAGCGTCCCGCCTCAGCCGACGTTACAGGGAGAGCTTGCGGAAGGCAAAGGAGATTTTCTTCATCCTGAGGCGTAGCCCAGACCCCTCGAGGATGCCACAGAGCGGAGACACTGTCTGCTTTTCCTTCCAGTCAATCAGCGAGGCTGATTTGGCCAAGACACCGACGCCGTCGCCCCGGACGCCTCCCTCAACCCGCGCACGTCTGAGGAGCTTCACATCGCACCCCGAGATCGTGTCTGACTTTGGGCAGATGGGCGCAAGGCGCACTCCGGACGTGCCCATCGACGCCAGCCCGGGCGGCTCCAATGGATCCAGTGCGAGTCCCATCAAAAGCAGCCCAGCCAAGAGCAGCCCCACCAAGTCACTCCGGAGTTCACATAATCCGTAGCCACCGTCAATGGGAGACGTCATGACCATCCTGAATCAAGCTTCAAATGTAGCTCGCAGTGACTGTCACTTTGGAGCATTCCTTCGGAGCAACTCACGGAAGAACCTGTTGTCAGACACTTGTGGGCGATCATCAACGCCCGCCGCTGTGAGTGGGCATGGGCTCCACTGGAGCTGTAGACTATAACGACTCCCTCGATCGTCATCGCAGTGGCGACACCACAACTTCACACTTCTCCTGATAACGTCTACTCGAACATGGTTGGCACTCCTCGCGCTGTCCCCCCTATGGTCCACCTCTTCTCCGGCGCCTACACCTATCCTGTGGAGGAGTTCGTAGCCATTGCCGACGCGAGCATGGCAGCGGCACCAGACTACTACTGCACTCCTGAGCGTAAGCGTGCCTACGTTGTTGCTGCTCTCACTGGTCGTGCTCGGCTCTGGTTCACGAGGTGGTCGCAGCACCATCTTTCGGCAAGTCACGAGGAGTTCCGCTCCGCTCTGCTCGAAGAGTTCCACATTAACGACACGCCGACCGAGCACCAGAAGTTCCGTCATTTGACGCAGGGTCTCTCGACCGTTGCCTGCTACGCGCGAGACTTTGAGTCCGCCGCCGGCCGCAGCAAGGAAGAGGTCGATACACAGTTCAACCGCCTCCGTTTCGCATACGGCCTCAGCCCGCACATCAGCGACTACGTCCTCGAGCGTTTTGCTGATTGCCCTACTTTTAAGGACCTCGTCAATGAGGCAGGTCTTGTTGAGGAGCACTTCAAAGCCATCCCGTCGAGCGGTAGCGACAGCGGGGCATAAATAATCAATCAGTCGTGTTCCGCCTTCCTTGCCTTTGCGGTTGTAGATTCGTCCGAGGTCATTGCGTGAGATGTAGTTGATGTTAAAAGATGTGCTTCTCGTCGTTCTTTCAGTCCACGGCCATGTTGTCAGTGCTTGGCGCCAGAGCTCCGAGACGCCCCGTTTGAATCGAGGGTGCCATGATTCGTGCTCGTCCGAAGTGACAGGTGAGGTACGCCGAGTTCCCTGCCTTTCCCCTTGGCGTCGCCAGCCGTGTCTGCACCGCCTAGCCTCCCTTCCTCCTAGTTTGCGAATCGCATCGCGTTTTCACGAACGTCGTGCATGTTGCGCACGCCGTGACTGAAGGCGCGAGGCGTTCCAGGCACAATTTGCTCGGTTCAAAGTCCTCGTGAAGATAACGGACATCGGCGAATTTCGCATACCTGTTCGTTAGAGACATCCTGAACGTGTCCTGCGGACCTGAGCCTTAGACGCGCTGTCTCGGTGTGACGCGGCGTGGGTGAGCCCTTCTGAGCAGGGGGCCGCAAGCCATGTCAGGCGCATGCAACAATAGAGGACAGGTGAGGGGATCCCCCTTCCGTGGACAACGGGTCCGAGACCTCCCGCCCCCATCTGGGTATATGACGAGGCGCCCGCCGACGCGTCACTTGTCGCTCTCTCTCACCCTGTAACCTAACTCACGACCAGAACACCATGGATCCAGTCGAGCAGCCTGCGCCTCCGCTGGCTCAGCTCTTCAGTGGCGACTTCTCCTTCCCCGTCGATGAGTTTCTCGTTCTCGTCGAGACCAATACGCTTCCGCACAAGTGTTACTACGCACACACGCCTCACAAGACCGCCTACGTCGCGAACGCGCTGACGGGCCGCGCGCGGCTATGGTACGTCCGCTGGGCCGGGGAGCGCGAGCACAAGGCTCCAGTGTACAATGAGAAGGGGCAGAGTTTCCAGAGTGCCTGGAAGACGTACAAGGACAAGCACTACGAGACATTCCGGCGCGACCTGGTCGCTCAGTTCGGTATCCCAGAGTTCATCACTCCACCCTTCGCTCTTCGCCATCTCACGCAAAACCGCCTCCCGGTGCAACAGTACGTCGACCGATGGACTGAGCTCGCAAACGCGTGTCTCGAGAACCTCGACTCCGAGTACAACCGGTACTGGTTCATCTACGGCCTGCGGAAGGAGATCAGAGACCACATGCTCGAGGTGTTCCCATTCTTCAGAACCTTTGCCAAGATCGTGGACGAAGCGAAGGCGATGGAGAAACACCTGCAGTCTAAAGTTGTCGAGAGGGTTATTGAGCGCGTCATTGTGCAGCAGGTGCCCGCTCCGCCTACGCCCATCGCGTCCGCGCCGGCCACGCCAGAGGTGACGACGTCCCCGGTTGCTCCGCTCGCTCCGTGTGCGCCCTCAACTCCAACGACACCCGCCCCTCCGGCGGCGGAAACGCTTGCCTCTCCTCCGCCGACGGATGAGATCGCCGTCGCGCAGTGATTGTAGTCATCCATAGTCTCTACGCTGATGTTGTATAGCTCGGTTGATCATTCTGAAACGGCAGGTCATAATCTGGTCGTCTAATGTCAGCTGTTCACTATGACGCGTAGTGGTAACCGACGGGGGACGCGAGTCGACATCTGATGACGCTACATATCACCAGCTCACAACACTCGCCGTTGCCCCTGCTGTCCGCCTGTTCGTCCGGCCAGCGACCATGTTCGCCACCGTCCCACTGAAGGTGCCCGTCCCCTACCGCTCAACTACCTCCCCGCCAACCAGGCTGCGTCTCCGGTTCTCCGGCGACCTCTCGCTGGATGTGTCGACCTTTCTCCGTGTCGCTGAAGCCGACATGTCTCGACACCCGTTCTACTTCAGCTATGTGCTTCTCCGGATTCACTTCCTGCGTCTCTCATGCGAAGGGCGGGGAGCGCTCTGGGTGGACCGGTACCTCGGGTCCAGCCTTCTACCGCCATCACTGCGCTCGCCTCTGCCCCACGAGTCGATATCGGAGTGGATCGCCGCCAACGACGCGGCCTGGGCTGGGTTTCGAGAGGACATGCTCGACTTTTTCAAGGACGGCACGCAGGCGCAGCTGAGGGGGCTGCAGCAGGAAGGCAGTGTAGGCCAGTACGCCGAGCTATGGCGACGGGCGGCCGGAGACGCAGACGTCCCCGTCGACTCGCACTTTAATTGTCGCTGGTGGATCTGGGGCCTGATGCCGGACATTCGCGCCCGGTTCACAGATGACGACTGGTCGATCCCGAGCCTCGAGCACGTCGTCGCCGTGGCTTTGAGGGCGGAGAGGGAACTGAACCGCGCCCAGAGACCGAATACGTTCCATGCCAGCCCGTCGAGATGGCGAAGCCGCCTCAGCAGCGAGCCGGTGCTGAGTGGACTTCCGTCGCCGATTCCTGAGAATGGGGAGCAAGGGGGAAGCCGCAGAAGGAGGAGAGCAACGGAACTCACGAACCGCCGGAGGTCGAGGGAGAGTGCGCAGTGGGCACCACTTCGACCAACGTCGCAGGGATGAGTTGTCGCAGGATGGGTGCTCGCGTCTCCTCAAGTAGAGCTGGCGGATCTCTCGGTCGAATGATTGCGCAGGGTACTACACTCCCGCCCCATGTAGAGCTGCATGCAGTGTAGATTCTTGTGCGTCGACGGCTGTGTGTTGCTTCCCACGGCGCACTCCTGTTGTGAGCTGTGCCCATCGCACCCATACAACTACCCCTCTTCTCCATCATTCATTCCTCCATCACTGCAACTCTCCAACTCTCAACTCCCCATCGCTCTCGCCTCCCTTCCCGGCGACTCAACAGCACATGGCGCCGCTCAACCTCCTCCCGGCCGTGCCGCTGCAGCACCCCTTCAGCGGCACCTTCGCCTACCCCGCCGAGGACTTCATAGCGCTCGCCGAAGCGAACATGAAGCCGCACCCGACCTTCTTCAACGCAGACGACAGGCGTCGGATCATCTACTGCGTGAACGCCTTCACAGGCCGCGCGCGCCTGTGGTATTTTGAGTGGGCGCGGCGCAAGGCGGGCGACCACCAGCGGCCGGCCGACTGGTACAGCGTGTTCAAGGAGGACTTTTTGGAGCAGTTCTGCATCCCCAAGATCAAGACGCATGACTGGCTCTTGCGCCAGCTCGTCCACGAGACTAGCGTCAGTAGCTATGCCGAAATGTTCCGCAAGACGGCCCTCGCATGCCGCGAAGACGTCGATAGCCAGTATAATCGCCTTTGGTGGGTTTATGGGCTTCGTGGACCCCTGCAGGCCAAGATCCTCGATGTCTTCCCCCTCCTTGACACCTATGCTGAGCTCGTCGAGGCCGCCGCAGACCATGAACGCTTCATGCTCGCTGGCGGCGATGCGCCGAGGACGGGGCGTAATGGAAGTCTGCCCGTCATTACGACATCGCACCACTAGCGCTCAGAGTTCGGCGCGCTGGATCAGTAGTTGTTAGTTTGGCACGCACAGTGAAGCCTCTACCGTTCTACTCATGCATATTCTACCTATGCTTTAGTGCTTGCCGTCGTCTCCCTTCTCCTCGGCGGCGGCGACGAACTGACGGATGCTGCGGGGTCAGCTGAGACGTTCAGGGACTGGCGAGCTGGCTTGTGGTTCGAGGAGGAAAACACTGGCTCTCTGCTCACAAGAGCAACGAAGCCGATCCCGAGACAGAGCACTCGAAGGTCCTTTCCCGAGCGCTCGAACGAGACCGCAGGACCTCGTTATCTCCATGTTGCTGGGTGCGGCGTGTGCGTCACTCCGTCCAACGTCCTTCAGGAACCAACTGCTTGCGCGTTCCTCCAGCGAAAAACACTCACAAGTCGTCCTCCTCCTTGTTGCCGGTGTTGATCGAGGTGTCGTCCTTGGCGGCGGGGGGAGCGGCCTGCTCCTTCTTGTCGCCACCGCTGGAGGCAAGAGCAATGCCGATGGTCGAGAAGATGGTGCCGAGGGCACTGCGGGTCAGCTTGCCAACTGGGAAGGGAGCTGGGCGATGGGGGAAGGACTCCAAACAGCTTCGAGTTCACGTTTCACAGCCAAGATATTGACATGAGCGTTGCAGAGCTTAGTAGAGCACTCTCGAGGCGCAAACAGCGATGCAGACGGCGGCTTTGGAGTTTGCAGTGGTCGCTAAGGCGTAGGTCGGCTGGCAGGCTGGTGTCGGCTGGGATTGGCGAGCTGATCGGAATCCGCACAGGTCGTTGTTCAGCTCGTTCGTAGCCTTCACGTCTCCAGTTACAGCGCGCATGCACTTGCTACGCTATTCCCCTCCACTCATACCGTCTGCATCGTTCCGCGTTGCTTCGTCGTCGTGTGTTGGCGAGTTGTTGCTGTCGGAGCCGCGATCCAATGAAACTTCGGAATAGCCGGAGAAACCCTCCCTCCACCGGGTGGACAACTCACATGTACTCGTTCTGTTTCTGTTAGCTAATCTTTGCAGAGTGGGTAGCTTACCTTGATGGCGCGGCCGGCGATAGTGTACGACATTTTTGGTGAGGGTATCGATGCAACAAGTCGAGGTCGCTGTGAGCGAGATGGCAACGACGACGCAGGGTGCAGTGCCGGGCCAGCGCCCAGAGCCAGGCAGGAGCGAGGGAAGCGTGAGCCAGCGAGCGGGCGGAAGTGCAAAAGTCCGAGTATCGCCGAGCGAGGCGTCCCTTCCACCCCCTGTGGCCTCCACCGCCAGTAAAAGTCCACTTTCGACCACGCTCAAGCATAGCGAGACCACAGTAGACCACAGCATCGACACACGACAACAACAACGATGCTCGGCCTCTTCCGCTCAGCACTCACCGGCCTCGGCGCTCCCGCCGTCCGCACCGCCGGCCCGTCACGCGCCCAGCTCGCCCACCCTCTGCCCGCCGGAACGCAGGCGCGATTCCGCGGCTCCCAGCTCATGCCCAGGAGGATCAAGTGGAAGAAGAGCGCAAAGGGACGACCGGCCCTGCCGACGGTACGTACAGCTTGAGACGTGAACCTTCTGAGCTGACAATCACAGGGCGGTTCCGTGAAGGGAACGACGCTGCAGTACGGCGGTTTCGGCATCCGCCTCCTGGAGCAGGTGCGCCTGACTGCCGCGCAGCTCAAGTCGGCCCAGGCTGCGCTGAAGCGCAAGATCAAGCCCGTCAAGGGCGCCGAGGTGCACCTGCGTGTCTTCCCCGACATCCCTGTGTGCGTCAAGGGCAACGAGACGCGTATGGGTAAGGGCAAGGGCACGTTCGAGTACTGGGCGTGCCGTGTGCCGGCCGGCCGTGTTGTGTTCGAGATCGCAGGCGGCGGTATCCGTGAGGAGATCGCCAAGCAGGCCCTCAAGCTTGCCCAGGTCAAGATGCCGGTGCAGACCGAGTTCATCTCGACCGCCTCCCCCCGCCGCCTCGGCAACCTCGTTGGCGACTTTGACCGTCCCCCCGCCGCGCAGAAGGTTGTCCGCGGCCGCGAACTCACCACCCCCGGTACCCAGAGCCAGATCGCGCGCGAGGCCAAGCAGGCCGCCGACGCCCAGGCCAAGGCTGATCTCGAGGAGGCGTCCAAGATTGCCCGTGTCTAAGTGGGTGAAGACGCAGTGAGCGTGAGTGGCCGAGCGAGGTGGCCCGGCAGCACGCTCGTAGACCGACACACCATTCGGTTTTTGTAACATTATGCATTCTGCACACACACACAACTGAGCTAAATCTGGCAAATCACGGAATCTTGAGCAATGTACAACTGTGTTCTGGGCTTTTCGTCGTCTACATACTAGCCTCTAGGGCTTCCTTCTCGACCCAATCCTCGAGCCTCTCGAGCCCGTTCTTCCCCAACCCCTTCCACTCATGCTTGGCAATAGACCCCCCGCGCCGGTATCCCGCATTCATGTCCCAACACGTCGACATGAGGGTTGGTTCCTGGCTATGCCACGCGACGTCGCGGACGACTCGCTGGCGCGTGTCGTAGTACGGATCCTCCACTCTTGATGCCGGGGGCGGTTCGGGCGCCGACGGGTCGGTGTACCGCTCCGCTCCCTGGTGCCGAAGCGGTTGGGAGAGAGCACGGTCGAGGACATGCACGACACGTCCGTCCAGGGACCAGATGTGGATACGCCCATCGCTGCTGCCGCTGAAGACGTAGCTCTGGCCCGTGGTAGCGGCGGGAGAGAAGTGGCACCGGATCAGCGTACGCTCAACGCTGTGGCCGCGGTACGTCATGACGCTGCAGTCCCTCGGATGCGCAGCGTATTCAGGCGACTGGTACCCGCCGTGCCGGTAGTCGTACCCTGGCTTCCCGTACTCCTGGACCGCGTCCGGCTCGTCTGCGAATTCGCCCCAGGACCGCATCTTCCGCAGGTCGTACAGCCGGCACGCCTGGTCCTTCGAGTTGGCAAGCACGTACCGCCCATCGCCCTTTGGCGCCGTATAGGTAATGCCCTCAGTTGCGCCAACGAGCACGCCGCTGGGGGTCTGGGAAGAGTTGAGACTCCGCCGGTCCCAGATCTTGACGTATCCGTCATCGCTCCCCGAGACGAGGATGTTGGTGGATGACTCGTCCGCGAAACACACCGCGTTCACGTCGTCCCGATGCCCCTGCACGCAGAGACTGCGCCTGTCGCTCTCGACGTCGTACACCATGATGTTACCGCGGGACGCGCCGGCGACGATCTCCTTCCCATCGGCTGAGAAGCGGATGGACCACAGCCCGAAGGACTCGAAACCGTACCGCCGCGTCCGGTCGTGGAAGTCCAGGAGCGTCTGCTCGTCGTCCCCCGCCTCAGTGCTGAGCATGTACACGTGCGGCGTGATCGATGAGTAGATCATGCGGCGTCCTGCGCGGTCTGCGTCTGCGTCCGTGATCGTCCATTGCCCCTCGATGCCCTGCGTCGTCTTGATGCGGGACAGTGATGTCTCCTCCCGCGGCGCGTGCGTTGGTGCCGTCCCGCCCCAGCGCATGAAGGTGTCCTCGTCCTCCGAGTCGGACTCGAATTGGACCAGACTGGACAGAACGCCGGCGCTACCCCTCTCTTGACGCCTCGGTCGGCGCTCAGGCTCCGCCTCCGGCGCTCGACGTCCCCATGACTGCGTAGAGTACATGTGCAGTGTGAAATACTGCGTCGCAGAGTCTGGGTGTCAACTTTAGCCTCAGCACGTAAGCTTACAGAAGATGGAATCGTTGGGGCCGCAGAACTGCCCAACGTACGGCACACAGGGATACCGCGCCACAATTGTCCCGTTCGTGTTGGGGATGACGGGGTGGTCGAGCTCGCGCGAAGCGTGCGCGTACATGAATGTTCGGGGGAGATGCTGGCGATAATGTCGCTCGCTTGGCCGCTTTCTCCTCTTCGAAGCTGGCGCCTTCTCCTTCCCCTTCTTGTCCTCTTCTTCGCTGTTCTTTCGCCGGTGCTTGCGTACCCGGGGATCTTCACGCTCCATGATAGGTGGTGGGGCAGAGTACACCCATGGTCCGACTGGTCCGAACTCCCCTGATCGAAGCAGGGCAAGGCCGCGCGGGTCAGGCTCGGTCTGCACCTTCCACCACCGGCGTGGCTTCCGTCGCCGCGGGGCCGAGATGTGTGTGTGCCGCATAAGTTGGCGGACGAGGGTACTTCTGTGGTCTTCGGGCATGTTGGACGCCGAGTTGATGAGCGCCGCGAGTTCGAGCAACCGGACTGGCGTATAGTCATAGGTGCCTCCCTCACTTTCCTCTTCCTCGTCTTCGTCCTCGTCCTCGACGTCGAGACGGGTATGCGTCACATAAGTCCCGGGGATGGCGAGACCGTCCATATCTTCCTCGTCCATGTCGTCCATATCCCCCATGTCCTCATCGAGCTCGTCCACGTCCTCGTCGTCTAAGGCCCAGAGCTCCGCCGCGTCGTCCGCATACTCGGCAAAGTCGTCGTCCTCGTCGTAGCCCGGGACATAGTCTGGGTCAAAGTCTTCGTCAAAGGGGTCGTCCTCGGGCCAGCCGGACATGGTGCGTGTGGTGGATGGGCAGTGTGACTCGCGGAGATTACGATGTGTAATCGACCTCGAGGCTAGTCACGAGGCTCGCTGCGAGTTCGGGACCGGAGATCGCCGAGGTCTCCACTATCTCTGCCTCCACTCGCTGACATGTGCTCTTTGCTGTGCGTGATGCGGACGATCTCAAGGATGAATCTCGGATAGACACACTCTCCGGCTCGGGGAGAGATGATGCGTAGGGTACGCCTCCTGATCGCAGCGGGCAGCGACAGGCGTCAGCCAGTGCAGCCAGCGATGAAAGCCGTGGCTGCAGAGGCTGCAGTGGGTATTGGGGGCGATGTGAGCCTGGGTGGCTATTTCAGATCACGCCCATGACGTCAGTCCTCCGAACGCCTGGTATTCTTAGGCACTCTTCCTTCCAGGCTCCTCCAGACATCCCCTCAGCCCGGCTGTCCATCGAGCACATGTCCCTCCCACGGCCAGAGGAAAGGAAGGGGCAAACCGCGGAATGCAGACGCCAACAGCGTCAGAAGCGCGTCACTGGCCAGCCTGTACCAGATCATCACGGCATGCTCCTTGACCCCATTTCACAGCGGGCTATAAGAACTGCCGGCGGCTACGTGTTCACCTGTCTCCCAACAAACCTCACACCCAGCAAGATCTGTAGCCATGGCTGAGGAACAGAAAACTACAGTGAACGGCATCAACGTCGAGCAGCTCATCCAGGAGAGCCATGACCCCGACACGCCTCACAAGCACAAGAAGGGCCAGTACGTTTGTTCTCTGTCGGTTGGGAGTGTGCTCATCGATGTCCAGGTGGTACCAGGGCTGGTCGATGTATGACATCCCTTACGCATCGCGCTACGACGTGCAGGTCAACATCCCCGCGGACGATCTGCCCAAGGACGGCGTCGAGTCCAATGTCGTGTACCAGATGCTCCATGACGAGCTCACGCTGGATGGCAACCCGAACTTGAACCTGGCGTCTTTCGTCCATACTTGGGTGCCTGATGGTGAGTAGAAGAGCGAGGCAAGGTGAAGCCTAGTCAGCGCAGAGGCGTAAAGAGGTGTAGATAGGAGCAGAGCGTAGCGGCGGAGCGGGGTCTTAGCGGCCATATTGGTGTTGGTGGGAAGCAATAGAAGCAACCGAGGAGGCGCTGGAGGAAAGGCGTTGAGCTGACCCAGGCAGAGTGCACCCGCCTCATGACCGAGAACCTGACCAAGAACCTCGTCGACCAGGATGAGTACCCCGCCTGTACCGAGATCCACAACCGCTGCATCGTAAGTCAGAGGTCTGCCTGGGCAGGGCGGAGGTGCGACCATGCCCCAACCCCCCCGGCTAACTGAGGCGGCAACTATTGAGCCACCCGCTGACACTTTCAGAGCATGATCTCGGGCCTGTGGAACCATCCCAAGAACGCAACACCCATGGGCACGGCGACGACTGGCTCCTCAGAGGCCATCATGCTAGGCGGCATGTCGATGAAGCGCCGGTGGCAGGAGAAGATGAAGAAGGCGGGCAAGGATATCCACAACCCCGGCCCGAACATCATCATGGGCGCCGAGGCGCAGGTTGCGCTCGAGAAGTTCGCGCGGTACTTTGAGGTGGAGGCGCGCCTCATGCCCATCACGGAGGAAAGTCATTATGTCATGGATCCCGAGAAGGTGTTGGACTACTGTGATGAAAACGTAAGTGCCTTCCTCTTCTCTTCCTACGTTATGGTCTGCAGTCGATTGGGCTGGATTCGGGTGCTCAGGTCCTACTGGGGGTTAGCATGCGCCCCTCTCTGCGCCCGGATTGATCCACAGATCTTCTTGAGTGACCGGCAAAGTGGCACCTCCACCGCCACCCATCCTCCTCTCCACGACACATCTCACTCGTTTCTGCGCCGTTTCTCAACTTCTTCCATCGTTCCCGAGGCTCACATCTGCGAAGACGATTGGATGCTACTGCATATTAGGATCGACCTACACTGGAGAGTTCGAAAACGTCAAAGCAATCGCAGACAAGCTCGACGAGTACGAGAAGAAGACGGGAATCCACATCCCGATCCACGTCGACGCGGCCAGTGGCGGCTTCGTCGCGCCCTTCGTCTACCCCGACCTGGAGTGGGACTTCCGCATCCCGCGCGTGTGCTCTATCAACGCCTCGGGTCACAAGTACGGCATGTCGACCGTCGGTGTCGGATGGTGTATCTGGCGCTCGGACAAGTATCTACCCAAGGAGATGATCTTTGAGCTGCACTACCTAGGCGAGACGGATTATAGCTTCAACCTCAACTTCTCGCGACCCGCTCACCCGATTCTGGGACAGATGTTCTGCTGTAAGTGCTGCTTTAGATTGGTCAAGACGAGAGGAAGGTTCCGGGAGGTTGGCGGGGAGAGGTGTGCTGAGGTTGTGTCAAGTGCCACAAGGATCGACACCAGGCACCACCTCCCGTCCACTGCGCTTCTCCTCCCCTTCCTTCCCTCATGACGCCGCGACATTGCTGACACCCAGTCCTCAACCTCGGCTTCAGCGGCTACCGCCGCGTGATCCACGCCGACCTGACGAAGGCGCGCATCCTGTCCCGAGCCTTGGAGAAGAGCGGGCTCTTCACGATCCTGTCCGAGATCCACATTCCCGTCGACAACCCCAAGACCAAGGACGACACAGACCCGACGTACTACCGGCCTGGTCTGCCCGTCGTTTCTTTCCGATTCACGGACGAGATCAAGGCCAAGTACCCGCACGTGCAGCAGCGCTGGGTGCAGGAGCAGCTGCGCGCGATTGGCTGGATCGTGCCCAACTACGCCCTGCCCCCCGCATGCGAGAAGACGGAGATCCTCCGTGTCGTCGTCCGCGAGAGCCTTAGTGGGGACCTCGAAAGGAAACTCATCACCGACATCATCAAGGTCACGGAGGGCCTGCTCAAAGGCGAGGGACCCAGTTATCCCATGTCACAGGCTACCAAGAGCCCGCCGCACGCTACCCGGCCCCGCAGGACGGAGAATCACAAGGATCATGAGAAGATTTCGAAGCACACCAAGGCGCACAACCATGTTTGTTAGTGGCCGTGTGTTAGTGCAGTAGAAAGAAGTGCAAATGTACATGAAATGCTATGCCGTATACAACAGTTGCTTGCGGGACGCCAGAGCCTACTCCTCTACAACCTCGTAGTCGACGCCGATGTACTCTCCACAGCCGGGACAGCCAACGACATCGACACCGTCCTCCAACTCTGGGACGGTGATGACATAGTCCTGCCCACAACGACACTCGAGCGTGTACTCTTCTGGCTCGTCCTCGTCGGGTTTCGGCGTGAACTCTTCCAACGAGACGTACTCTCGTATCCGCGGTCCCTTGGGCTCGGGCACATCACGACACGAGGTGGAGGCAAAGTACTGAGCGTCGAACTCTTTCCGCCGGCTGGGATCGGAGAGCACCGCGCGGGCTTCATTCACGAGAACGATGTCGACGGGGGATACATCGCCCGCTCGTCTTTTGTCGGGATGACTCTGCCATTGTCAGTTTCAGCTGCTGGGAAGATGAAGCTCAAGGGGCGTGCAAGGTGCCCCTCGGGTCAGTAAGTTTCAGACGTACCAGGAGCACAAGACGACGCCACGCGCGAGTGATCTCTGCTGGGGTCGCTGTCGGGTCGACGCCGAGCACGGCGTAGTAGTCGGGAAGCTGGGCCATGGGCTCGTTGTCAGCCCGCTCGGTCAGCAGGGCAGCGTGCGGGAGTGCGGAACAGGAGGTGAGGGGTGACGGATTCGAACTTTTTGGGTGGCAAAGAAACATGACGAGCCAGGGGCGGCGCGTGCACGGCCGGCGTTATTCGACCCACCCACTTTAAAGATTGAACGGCGACCTCTGCCCATCCCCTCGTCGGCTCCTCGCGCTCGACTCGTCTTCGCGTCGCCGACAGAACATCCTTCCACCACCCTTTCTTCTTTCCCACCTTTTGCAACCCACAACCCCAAAACAGTAGCTTGCCCAACGCTACTGATCGCATCTCCGCCCTTCAGTCCCCCACTCAGTTCCCGTATACCCCGTTGTCGCAAGATAATTCTTTCCGGAATCGAGTGACCCACCTGCAGGCCTTTTGTTTGTTTGTGTACCAAAAATCTCCGTGAGTAGTAACCCTCCGTCGCGTTCGACCGGCACCACTCATTGCTTCCTTTGCCACCGGCTGACACCCTCCTCAGCCTGTTTAGATTCATTTATAGTACGCGCTTCATTGCAAGCACCCGTTCTCACCACCGCCCAGATGACCGACGCCGCTCCCGAGACTTCGTCGCCTGCCGCACCTACCCCTGCTGCTGCCGCCGCTTCGACGTCGACCACCCCGAAGACTACCGCGCCGAAGCGCAAGACGAAGTCGCGCCGCAAGACTCGCCGTCGTGACGGCTCCGACTCGGACGCAAGCTCTGATGGAAGTGTCTCCGACGCTGCTGCCAACGCTGCACCCAAGTCTGCCAAGGGCAAGGGCAAGGCGAAGCAAAAGCCATTGTTCCCCGAGTCGTCCCACACCACCCCCTTAGTGTGGGCCGACGCCGACGTCTCGCAAAACGAGATTGTGTCCTTCGACTTTGGCGACAGCAGCAGCAAGAGCACCAAGCCCGCCGCCCCCGCTCCCGGCAAGCCGCAGCGCGAGTTCACCGAGGAGCAGAGGAAGCGGCACGAGGAGAAGCTTCGCATCAAGAAGGAGAAGCAGAAGGCGAAGCGCAGGGCGGCGAAAGAGGCCAAGGCCAAGGAGAAGGAGGCCGCGGCCGTGAAGGACAGCAAGCCGAAGGACGATGCTGAGAAGACCGACGCCGCCTCAAAGGCTCCGCAACCCAGCAAGGAGGACGCGTCGCTTGCCGCTTCCACCTCGGCCCTCAAGCTTGACGATCCCGCGCCTGCCCCCGCCTCGGTTCCCACGTCAACACCAGCTTCTGCACCCTCAACCTCTCCCCCGACCGCCGCTGCTACCGCTACGACCACTCCCGCCGTTCGTCCGAACCCGCCGTTCGCTCCCCACCGCCCGCTGCGCGAGCGACTGTCGAACCCGCCCGAGGGCCGCTTCGCGCCCCGCCCGCCCCACTGGGCTAACGACCAGCGCCAGCCTGTCCGACCTATGCCGGACTTCTGGCGCGGGCGTGGTGGACCCCGCGGCATCCCCCGTGGTGCGTTCCGCGGCTTCCCCCGCGGTCGTGGGCGCGGTGGGTTCGGCCCCTTTGGACCTGGTGGGCCTCACTTCCGCCCGCCATTCCGACCCCAGGGCCCTCCCCACGGACCGCCAAACGCTGTTAACGCCGCTGTGGCGAACAACGCCTCCAGCACCCCGCCCGCCAACGCTCCGTCTGCGCCGCGCGCCATGATCGACTCCTCCGCAGCTTCGGGCTCAGGAACGACACCGGCATCGGAGCAGCCCGAGACGACCGAGACTGCGAAAACTACGGAGCCGGAGTCCGCCGACAAGCCGCAGCCGACGCCAGCTCAGCCGCAACAGCAGCAACCCGCTCAGCCGCAGCAGCCTGTCGTTCCTCCTCAGAGGTTCCGACCGAACATGCCTCGGCCTGACGGACGATGGGGCCACGACGGCTTCCACCAGCACATGCGGGAGGATGCCTTCCGTGCGAACCGTGGTATGCGCGCTCGGGGACGTGGACGGGGTTTCGCTCCTCGTGGCGGCTTCCGGCCATTCTTCAACCACCCCGGACACCTGCCGACGCCAGAGGTGTCGCCCGATCGTGCCGAGAAGCCCGCTGCTACTGCAGCTGCCCCCGCCGCGCCCGCTGCCAAGCCGACGGAGAGTGCCTCGATCGAGGCGCTGCTGGATGACTCTGGTGCCGTCACTGTGCGGTTGCCGGGGGAGACTGAGACTGTGGCCGTTGACCCCGTGCCCGTCGACACCCGCCCGCCCTCTCAGCCAACGGACCTTGTGTCACAGTCGCCTCTGCCGCCGGCGTTCACCCCCTCGAACCCTTCTCCCGGACCGTACTCTGACGCCGGCTCAATGAGCTCGTCGGGTTACGTTGGTCCGATCCCCGCAGAGTACTACGGTGGTGTCGCTTTCCGCCCTCCTCCCTACCGTGGCTTCCAGTCGTTCACGCCTGAGCCTTTCCAGCCTGGACACGCCTCGCACCCATCGCATGCGTCTCGCGGCTCGTTCTCTGGCTTCTTCAGCGGCAGCCCGATGGATCCGCGCGCCGGCTCTCCGTTCAACCCGTACGCGCCCGGCTTCGTTATGCCCACTGCGGTGGGCAAGGATGTGACGGGTGAGCCGAAGAGCCCTCATTCGGAGGGCACGGACTCTATGCCTGGTCAGATCCAGACGCCTGAGTTCGCGATGGCTCCGTACTACTACAACCCATACGCTGAGCAGCCGATGGGTCAGATGGGCCAGATGGGCGGTATGGGAGGCGTGTTCTACCCGCCGCCGCAGGGGTACTGGCCGCAGCAGTATGAGCAGGGGATGTACGCTGGATTCGAGGGCGAGTACCAGAACCAGCAGGGACACCAGTTCTAAGAGCAAAACCTTTCAGCATTCAAACCAAACCAAAGCCTTAATTAAGATAAAACTAGACTGTATGAAAACACCAATGCAATGCATCATCATCTCATCGTTCCGTATCTTCCTTCCTTGGTGGTTTGTTTTGATGAAAGCAGTCTGGAGCCAGTTGAAACAACGTTGAGCGGAAGCAAAGTTGGGTAAGGGAGGGTGGGGTGCCTGAAACGACCTGACGCGGATGCCGCCACCGACGCGCGCGTTGACACTGCGAGTCCACGACACTGACCATCCGGCGACCACCACGCTAGATACCTGTCTTCCTCGACTTCAACTTGCAGTCAACACTCCCTTCCCTCTCGTTTTCACCCAACAGGCGACAGACGATCACAAACCCACTCATCTCTTCACATCAACATCAGACGGCGGCGACCAGCATGCAGGCATCAGGTCTGCTGACGCCGCGTCCCTCCCGCGTGCCCTCAGGCAGCGGGGCACGCACACCAACAGCAGCCGGCCCCTCATCAAATCCGGCAGACTCAGTGGACCTGTGGGAGGACATTCTGCGCAGTGCGGACCGGGCCAAGACGCACGCGCACAAGAACATTGTGCTGCTCGCCGAGCGTCATCGCGGACGCACACATCTGCTCGACAAGCTGGCGGGGAAGCGCAGACAACGGCCCGAAGGTGCCTCGGCACTGGCTATCGGGTATCAGGTTCTTGAGAGCGAGGATAGGGATGAAGGTAAGCTGTTTCCTCGTGGGCTTCAGCTGACAGACAGACGCTGCGCCGCCCGTGTCCGTGTTCTACCCGCCATCATCGCACCCGACCTTGCTCAAGCTTGTTGACACAGCGCTTCCGCCGAATCCTCTACCTGTGAGTTGCAACGAGGAAGGCATGAGCTAACAAACAGGACACGGCCGTCGTCATTGTGCTCGACTGGACCAAGCCGAGCAGCATGGTGCGCGAGCTCCTGACGTGGCTGTCGTGGGTCGACGGCTGGGCGCAGCGTGTCAGCAAGGACACTGACGAGATGCGAGACCGATGTGAGTTGTCTTGATTCAGCTGCTAGTACAATTCAACTAACCCCCAGTGCAAGCACATCTGCAGCATTACACCGAGCCTCCAGCCCCAGGCACGCCAGCACCGACAAAAGCGCTCGGCACAACGCTCCTTCCCCTCGGACCGGGGACGCTGACGCTGAACCCGGCCGGCGTCCCGATCATCGTGGTTTGCACGCGCGCAGACCAGATGGACTCTGTCGGCGACGAGATGGGCATGAAGGGCGGGAGCTGGGAGGAGCGCACAGACTGGATCCAGCAGGTGCTGCGCACGATCTGTCTCTCGTACGGCGCGGCGCTGTTCTACACCTCGCAGACGCAGCCGCAGACCTACACGCTGTTGCGGGACTATCTCGTGCACCGGCTCTACACCACTCCAGGGGCCAGCGGGGAGCCCGTCGCCCGATATCCATTCGCGCACCGCGCCAATGTGCTTGATCGGGACGCCGTCCTTGTCCCCGCGGGGTGGGACAGCTGGGGGAAGATCAACGTGCTGAGGGAAGGCTTCGACCTGCAGCGCGTGCACAATGCGTGGGAGTCGTCGATCAACCGTTTCGGTCAATCAACAGACGCAGACGAGGAAGCCATCGATGACCTCTGGACAGCCATGGTGCCGGATACAGAGAGGCCGAAGAACCGGAACGACGGCGCGATCACAACCACATCAGAGGGGGAACAGGCCTTCCTCGCCAAGCAACTCGAGGCACTCATGAAGGACCCGAACCGCGACCCGAGGGCTAGTTTCCGACACGCCGTCAACAGTGCGGCGGCGAATGAGGGCGAGGCTCCGCAGCGCTTCGGAGGCGTCGTGGGACCCATGGGCGCCGGTGGCCTGAACCTCCCGGGCGTCGAGAAGGCTATGGCAGAGATGGAGGGCGGGGACGACGTCAAGGAGCGCTTTGCAAGGATCGCGAGGAGGGTGAGTCTTGGGTCGTTGGAAGCAGTCCCGAGGTCGTTGGAGGCTGGTCGCGAGTCGACGACCGCCATGCAGTCCAGCTAAACGGCGATGTTTGTGAAGGGAAAGCTGACAACCACAGCAAGAAGGCAAGCCTCAGAGCCCGCCAAATGAGCGACCAGCCGTGCCCAACGAGGCACTGCACAACTTCGTAAGTGCTCCTTCCGCGCTGCTCAGCTCCTCTTTTGAAGCTGCTAGCTGACAATCCCAGTTCCAGGGCCTGCTCGCCAAGAAGTCGGGCGGCACGCCGACCCAGACGCCGACCAAGTCGAAGTAGACCCGCTCGAAGTAGACCCGGTGCTCGAATCACTCGTTCGACAGTGGGCATAAGTCATGCCTTCACCAAACGATACATAGCATCCACAACCACGACTTTCGGCAAGACAGCCGACCAAAGCTTAATAATGTGTTATTCCTGTGCATAGAGACGACCCCGTGATAGGATGTAGTAGGGTTTCATGTACAGTGTGCAGCTACCCTCCGCGATGGCAGGGAGTGAGGGATAGCATCGAACTTGTCTGACGTCGAAACGATTTTGGAAGGGCTCAGCATGTCATTTGGTGCGGCCGCCTAGCCCAATCAATGCAAGCGATACATTTCTCTATAGCGCCTCCTTCCTCTCGACCTTCCTCGCTGGCGTTCTACAGACGGAGCAGCTCACGATCGCTCGCAGCGCTTCCGCCCGCGACTTAGGTGAGGGACTTCTTCCCCTTCTGCTCATACTTGTAGAAACCCTCTCCACTCTTCCGCCCCAGCTTGCCCTGCGCGACGAGGTCCTGGATCAGCGTGCCCTGCGGCTCGACGTATGCTTTGGGGATGTAGCCCTGCTCGGCGCGCTTGACCCAGCCCTTGCCGACGAGGAGGTTCGTGTCTGTCTTGTTAGCTTCGAACGTTGTCGCGAGCTGGGAAAGGGAAGGGAAGGGAAAGAGAAGGGAAGTGAATGAGAAGAGGGCTGTGCAGGGAAGAATGGAAGAATTGGGGGGGGGTGAGGACAAAGATGAAGGAGGAACTCACCGAGACCGACATAGTCGAACAGTTCGAAGGGCTGTTTGTCAGCTTTTTTGTTCTGTCTCTCAAGCTTCGCGATCCATCAAGGGTCCACCGCCTCTGCGGGCGGTGTACGTCCAGAAACGGGCGTTGACTCGTGCGTCGAGCCTCTGAATGAACTCACGCCCATGGGGTGCCCGGCACCCAGCTTCATGGCGGTGTCGACGTCCTGGAAGGTGGCGTCTCCGCGTTCGACCATGCGGATCGCCTCGCGGTTCAGCGGCATCAGGAGCCGGTTCACGATGAATCCGGGCGTGTCCTTGGCGCGGATCGGCTTCTTCTTGAGCGACTTGCCAAAGGCGTAGAGCGCGTCGTCGACCTCGGGCAGCGTGTCTTCCGTGCGGATCACCTCGACGAGGCGCATGACGGGGACGGCTGAGTGTCAGCTTGGCGTTCAGAACCCCTTAGCTTGTTGCCCTTGTGGCCCCCTTTCCACAAGATTGGAAAGGAGGGGCCGGAATGGGTGCGATCGTGTGGGAAACAGGGAAAAGGGGAGGTGATCGGCGCCCTTGTCCTTCGAGCTTCAGCCGACTCACGATTGAAGAAGTGTAGACCGCCGAAACGCTTCTTCCTCTCCTGCGGACACTTGGCGTTGATCTCCTTGATAAGGAGACCGCTCGTGTTCGACGTAAAGATGCACGAAGGCCTGGCGTCAGCTGCTGAAAGAGAGTTCAAGCTTACTTTGCAACGGTGTCGAGATATTTGAAGAAGTCCTGCTTAATGGCAAGGTCCTCGATAATCGCCTCGATGACAAGGTCAGCGTCCTTGACGGCTTCGGCGCTGAGGTCAGCTCACATGAGACTGCGAGGTAGGAAGCTGAAGGTGGTTCTTGGCCCCAGCCGGATGGCAGAGTCCCCCGAACAACTCACCGGTCAGTGGTCGTCTTGATGGCCTTGACGATGCCGTCGATGATGGGCGCCGTGTCTGTGCCCTCGGGTGCCATGTGCTTCGCAATGCGCTCAGAGGACTTGCGAATGATAGCGAGGCCCTTCCTGTCTGTCAGCTCGCAAGTTTGTTCGACTGAGCTCACTCGAGCGCCTTGTCGTTGACGTCCCAGAGGCGCACGTCGTATCCCGCAAATGCCGCGACCTGCGCAATACCAGCGCCCATCAAGCCCGCGCCGTACACAGCAACGACCTTGATCTCGGGCTTGGCGATGCCTGAGCCAGAGCCCGATGCGGGGGCAGTTGAAAGATGGGACTGGATAGTCTGCAGACGCTTTGTGGCCGACATTGCTGCTGCTGAATGATGGAGTGGAGTGAGGGAAGGCGACAAAATGAGGTGAAGTGCGGTTGTGGGCTGGAATGTTGTCACTTGCCGACGGGCGGCGGCGTTGACCGGTCAAGTAACCGGATAGCCGGCGCCCGGTCATTCACTAGCGCGGGGGATCCACTCCCTGCTCCATGTCGTGCGTTGGCCAAGAATGTCAAGAGACTGCGGTTGGTGAACGTGGTGGCGAGGATGCGGCTGATGACAAGTACAGTTCCAGAGAAGGAGGAGCATTGTGCAAAGAACATGCGGATGCAAGAAAACGCGGAGGGGCGACGGAAGGAGCACCAGGGCACGTTTCAAGAACCACAGGCCGCGGCGAAGGTCAAACAAAAGGAAGCCTAGCCTCGGGCGTCATGGCGCTAAACCATGCATCCATCCATCATCAGTTAGTGGCACTCCTGGGCTGCTCTGCTCACAACACCACCCTACTCATGTCTTCCTCATCGCAGAAAGAACGCACTGCCTCCCCAACATCCAAAAGAGTTACTTCGTGCCCCCACTCAGAATCGAACTGAGATCTAGAGATTGCAACTGAGCATATGAGACTCGCGTACTAACCATTATACTATAGGGGCCGTGCTTCTCGAAGCCGATGTCGAGACATCCGCCGCGTCGCCTATCAATCCGCCCGTAGAAACGAGAGTGTTGCAAGCAGGAGACTGAACGAACGAACGATCGCGAACGAGCCTGTACGGCCGTCGAAGGATGGGAATGCCAGAGAACATCAGGTGAAACAGAGGACATTGCAACGCCTACCCCACGCGTTTGTGGCGCCCCAATTTTCCGCGGGCAATCCAACGTAACTTATTCCGATTCTGCCAACGGACATCCTTCAAGACAACCACTGTCCTTCCCCAATTGCTACCGACTCCACGCTTTGGAGTGGTTACAGATGCATCACTTGGCACCGAAAGCGGCCCCGAACGTCCCTCCAAGCGATCGGCGCCCAACAAGCCTCGGGATGATAGCTCAGTTGGGAGAGCGCGAGAGTGAAGCTTCAGAAGTCAATTCTTGAGGTCGGGCGTTCGATCCGCCCTCGTCCCATGTCATCACTTGCCTCGCCTGATCCTCCGGGAGATGGTTCTAGAGGCCTTTGGTTATTGCTTTTGGACCGGAGAGAGGTGGTCGGCGGCAGTTCATCGGAGTCACGCGGACCGCAGAGAGCATGGAGCCACAGACAGCACCCTTGTAAGCGGCTTGGAAGTGCAGACGGCGAGGACCCATACCTCAGCTCGGACGCATACACGCTCACTGTCACAACGGTATGGTGCTAGATTACGCGTTTCCAGCCGGCCGACTCAGCCAGCGTACACGCTTTTGCGACTCGCACCTTACGGTACCCTTGTCCATCACTCAGACGCGGTAAGGTCCCCAGTCGATCTCGAAGCTCTATCACCAGGGTCCAGGGCCAGATCAGTTCGCGTCATCGTGTGTGGCAGCCAACCCACCACTTCCAAGTCGGGTCATGTCCACCATCAGCTTGCGCGTTGTGTGTCCACATCACGAATGGCTGGAAGCACGCAGCACACAAGGAGCAGGTGCCGCTGATGCTTAGAGAGCTCAGGAGGGGTGTGCAGTCTTTCTCGTTCGATTTCTACTTTCTCTTCTCCCCCTATCCTCATCAACAATTCTATCCTTCCAACACTCAACCACTCCTCCTACTCTCCGTCATCGATACGGTTTCGAAACCACACGAGTTCTGGAGCCTTCCGACCTTGCTCACACAGCACCCTCCGTAGCAGCAGTCAAGATGGTCCGCCGCGGCCCAGGAGGCGCCTGGACTGAAGACACCAGGTCCACGATCTACTTTCCTGAGGATGTAATGGACACATACGTCGGCCAGTGGCATCAGACCAACCGTCGCCCAGCCGTTCTCGGTAACAAGGGCGAGCGTAGCCGCTGGATCATGGTTGGCCTGCTGCTCTGTTGCTTCATCGTCTGGATCGTCAGCTGCTGTAAGTTGAACTTTTCCCGGCCTCCACTGACCCCGACCCCAGTCACGGCCGTAGGTCCCCAGATGCACTCTTCGTGCATGCTGCACATCCGCAGCGAGCCTTACGTTTCCGGTCCCGAGGGAGTCGACCTTTGCTTCGGGCTCCACGGCTACTACGACCGTTCAACCAACACCACCATCTCCCAGCACGGGTACAACATCATGGAGGTCGTGCGCAACGCGACTGACTACCCTGACCTGAACATGAAGCTCGGCCCTGTCACGCGCGGTTTCGGCATGACCTACTTCTGGACCGGTGAGTGCACCTCCTCATCAGCGCTGACCCCAGTGATTCTGTTCTTCTACATTGGCGCGCTTGCCGCTGACGTCTTCCCGTCCCTGCCCGACCAGCAGCCCCTGTCCGGGATTGGCACCACGGTCCACTTCGTCCTCATGTTCGTCAACATCATCCCGGTGGCGATCAACCTCTCCGTCTTTGTTGGTGTGCGCAACACGCTCATCCAGCAGGGCAAGGAGCACGCGGGCGCCTTCAAGGTCTCTCCTGTCGGCGCACTGGCCTGGCTTCAGCTCCTGTCCCTGTTCGTGTTCTGGGGCGCCCTCGCGGCAGCCCTCCTCATGGACTTCCGCGAGGACATCTTCGAGCAGAGGTCTCACGAGCTCCGTCCCCCGCCCGCCAACCGCCGCTTTGGACCTACGGCCGACGCTCACGCTTTCCCCTACTACTTCCACACTCAAGCGGGTATGGATGTGACCACCCCCGTTACGCCTCCTTCGTCAATCTACGTACCTGGAGGCATGGAAGTTCATCCTCGCCAGGCCTTCGGAGAGGACTGGCATCGTCACCAGTCCTAAATTGGCATTGGGGTCTCATCCGCCCCAGTCTGCACTCTCATAGACTCGCCATCCCTACCCGCTGCGCGACGCACAGCTACAAACCATGTTGTGTATCCTCCCGTAAAGCTCCATTCATCATACCCCAGACTCCCGTTACCCCGTCCGCTACCATTAATGCGCAACTGAAAGGAAGCGTTTCGCCCGTACATAATTGAATTGAAACTTTCCAAAATCCCCCCAAATAACTCGAACTGCCTCTGCCGTACTCATGCCCGTCGTTTCCGTAGTTTCTATGCATTCTGAAGCAAGTGAATGATTGTGCACGTGTTTGAAGGTCATAGGACAAAGATGATGCACTGTCGAACGGGCCGCGGGGGTGCTGTGTGTTTATCCCGCGGCGGAGTGCCAAGATGTTTGCTCATCTTGTCCGAGATGCAGCGACGTTGCGCATCAGGAGGACTAGGTAGACGCCAATCATCGCCCCGCTTTGCAATTCCAGCTCCGACATCATTTGCTGTGCCACTCAGAATCTGTTGATGCGCTGCTCACAGTCCTATTGTTAAACTGTCAGACCTGCAAAACTGTTCTGGACAGTCGCGCGATGTCGTCCATCATCGTGGGGCTATCGAGCGGCACGGCTTCCTCGACGGTGTCTGGGCCACTATCCCAGTCCTGATGCGGTAGTAGAGCAGTTTCATAGCTGGACCCAGAGTCCGGATGCTCTTTGCGGTCGTATATGAGAGACACCTCTCGGCGGCCGGGGCCTGAGGTGGCCCACCGCTGTCCGTCTCTGTGCACCAGCGGGCGAGAAGACGGGGCATCACTATTTGCATCACCATGCGGCCTTAACCCATCGGGTGGTCGCATGCACACAAGAGCCTCGAGGTGTTGCGCTCTCCATTCCTCATGGTGGTACAGCTGCGCTGACAGCTTTGGCACCCTGCTCCAGCCTCGCACGCTCGCCCCCTCTTTGCGGCCAGACTGGCGCCGCAGCCGGTAAGTCCGTTTTGTGCACCAGCAATCCCCTTCCGAGCCACCGTTTAAAAGGACGTATTAGTCACCCCTCACTCTTCCGACTCATTTCTCCTCCTCTCTGCTCATTTCCGTGTCCCTATCCTTTGCCCTATCTAGTCGAGCTCTTTCCAACACTCGACGCATTTTCCACCGAACCCTCCGTCACCTTCTCCGTCTGCACAAACAGAGCAACATGGAGCAGGTTCACAACGGCGGCGTCCCGCAGGCGCGCTTCCCTAACTGGAGCCACGCCCGGGTCCGCCATCTCGCTAGCACGACCTACGCCATGGTCACCGTTGGCCTCCTCCTCGCATGGACTCTGTTCATGCTCTCGTCCTGTGAGTTCATTTGTGTGGTTAGAGCTCGACGCCATTCCGCCTCCTTGGATAACTTTCGCTAACTCCAGTTTCCGGCATCATCGCCACTGATCTCTGCCTTCTCTCCGTCCGCGAGTCGGCCATTGGTGGCACCAGCCTCTGTTTCGGCACCCTTGGGTACGCGCAGCGCATCGTGCACGACCCCATTCGCCCCAACACAGATGAGCTCATCCGCACCGTCGAGGATATCGGGTACAACGTCACCCACGCTGTGTGGGAGTCCTACGGCGTCGCCATCAATGACAAGTGGGCTCTGCATACCCGTGGCCTTGTCATGTCGCCCGTCGCGGCCGGCGCTATGGCTTTCGACTTTGCCTGCCATCTTGGCCATCACCCGGTTGGCTCTCACGCCCTTGCAATCCTTATAACCTTAATCACGGTGGTTACCGAATGGATCGTCTTCGACGGGGTCCGCATTGACATCAAGACCAACGCTCCCGGACTGGAAGTCTCGGCTCTTGGTCTCGTCCTCAAGCTCCAGCTCGCCGCCTTCATCATGATGTTCCTCGGCATGCCTCTTGTCTGGCTCAGCAAGGAGCTCCACTTTGAACTCCTCCTTCGCAACGATGAGCTTATTGCCAACATGCCTGTCGGCTTGGAGGTCGCTCCGGACGGTGGTAATACTGGTGGCACTGCTCACGGCGATCGTTTTGCTGACGTGGCCCCCTCCGACGGCCGCATCGAGATGCCTCGCTGCCGCACCCCTCCTCCGCCCCTCGGAGCTCCCCGCGCCTCGCCGTCCGATACCTCGTCGCGTTCTCGCTCTCCGTCGCCCCCTCGTACTCCCTCTGCTCAGATCCGCCGTGGCCGTCGCACCTGACATGGAGACCGTCGAGATTCAGTCGGGTGCCCCCTGTAGCAACGGGCGCGAGTCAATCGGCGCCGCCGACGGTGAGATCGGCCGTCCCCACGACATTATGATCGGCGGCGGTGCTGCCAACGACTTCCTCGAGCCTACGGAGGTGCCGACTGGTCCTCGTCCCCTTCCCGCCGACATGACCCCGCCCCGGGCCAGAGTCGCCCAGTGGAGGCAGACGACTACCGACGCCGTCGACCCCCGTGACCTTCCCCGTTGGAACCACGATGCTCCTGCGGAGTGAGGCGCCAGACGAGCCCACGCTGCGCCAACTCTCTGCAGGGCATTAATAATCAATCGCGAAGGGTTAGTCATGACTGACAACCTATGTAGTGCAGGGAGGGTGGACGAAGATGGAGGTCCATATGCAACGACTGATGGCGAGGGGACCCTGGAAGCACCCTGATATTATCACATGCGCCGCGGATTGAGGCAAAGAGTGACCGACCTCAAGTTATGTCGTCTCCTGCACTCCTGACCCAGTATTGCTCGGCGGACTCACAACTTGGCTTCATTGCCAACGCACATGATTGAGGCGGACAGCTCAGTGTCGCACAGGCCATTTCAGCGAGGTAAGATGGCGCGGACTCTGTGGCATATCACCCAATAGGCATAGATGCATAGATGTAGCCATACACGTGGGTTGAAACAGGTGGATTTGGTCAGACGCCAGTACAGTGCATGGCACTGTGAGTTCGCGACCGTGGGAAAGGCAAGCTCCGACCCCATTTTCGACAGTTTCGATACGTCAACCGTTGGAAACGTTGTTGCGGTTCTTCCTCACCTGATAAGACCCATCCTTACCTTTGCAACCATGAAAGTCCTTGTCTCCCCGGTGACCTAGGATAAGTCGCGTCTGAGAAGACTAACGCTCTCTCCCACTCTACACGCGCCTTTTTGTCCTATCTGGCCTCACTCCCGTAGAGAGGCCTTTTCTAGTTCCTTCGGTGCCGCCCATCGGTCCCGTTGTTGAAGTTAATAGGTTCCCCCTCTCTCTCTTTCCCCGAGACGCCATACAAAACGCCCTGGTGGAGAGTTTCCACCCCGTGGAAACTTCCCACGGTGGCCCTCGGCTCACCGGTCCGTGATTAGTGCTTATCTTTCGCTCTCTCAGTCATGCTTCTGCCCTCCCTGGACCCCAGCGCCCGAATCCTCCACAGCGGCCCCATTGCTCGGTGATCTGTCAAACCTGGACGTTCAGATGGAACTGAAGGGGGCTTTGACATTCATGGGAGACCGACTACCCATGCACCGCCACGATTTCCTCGAAGTCCCCGTCGGTGCCCTATGGTGTGAGGAGACATTGTCGAGCCAAGCACTTCGAGAGGCAGGCGAAGTGATCAACCGGCTCTGTGAAAGGATCACCACCATCGGCGAGGAGCACACAATCGATCAAGTGAGGGATGCGGTGCCGCGGCTCACGAAGATGGAGTGGTACAACGATGCCTGCCTCTTTGTGCTGATATCGGCGTTGATCCATCAGCC